TGAGTTACCCCCCCCCCCCGCCAGGAAGGCTGTGCCTGGGACGGCTTCTTTCTCTGCAGGCAAAGGCCTCCCGGCAGCGAGGGCTGCACACCTTCTGCAGGTCCCGAACCCGAAGCTCCCTTCCCTGTGGGATCAGCTGCCGCATCGCCTCTGCCAGCCCCCAAAGGGGGCTGCAGGGGTGCGGTCATCAAACCAAAGTGACAGCAAGGTGCAGGGGCTCCAGCCGGGTTCCACCTCTTGCTTTGGAGGTGGCCGAGCAGGGTGACGGTCTATCTCCCACTTTGCAAAATGGAGATGGGGGGGATGTGTGTAAAGGGCTTGGCACGGAGCGCACGTAGTAGGTGCTCGATGCCCATTCAGGATCCTCCTAATGGGGATGACGTGGAGTCAGCACTCAGGCCTCAAAGTGACGATCTCCAGATCCTCGGAGCATGACCCAAATCGGAGTGTTGTCAGAATCCTCAGCAAAAACGCACAGCGGGCAGGAGGCCAGGATGGCCTTATCCTGCAGGGATCTGCATTCAAATGAACGCGGAGGAGAACTGGAGAGGAACAGGTGGGTCAGAGGAGCCGGAAGAGGTCCAGGAACTTGGCCCTGCTGCTTGGCAGGACGGAGGCTGAGCAGATCAAGAGCTGGGAGGATCCCGAGTTCAGAGCCAGCCTCAGCAACTTAGTGAGGCCCCAAGCAACTCAGCAAGACCCTGTCTCTGAATAAAATATGATAAAGGGCTGTGGAGGGGGCTCCATGGTTAAGCACCCCTGAGTTCCATCCTTAGTACCAAAAAAAAAAAATCACAGGTAGCCCCCCCCACACTCCCACTGCAGGGAACAAATGGTGGGGCCACCAGGCAGGGGTCTACCCAGCCTGGAAACCGCAGGAGCCTGGGGAAAGGCAGTGGCCTCACCAGACCCAGCCCAGCCGACATCCCCCACTTGCAAAACCCAGAGTCCCTGGAGAGGCCATCAAATACATCTCCTCGGCTTTCCTGTGCCTGGTACCCGGGTCCTGGAGCTGCCGTCCACGTCCCCCGCCCCTGCTAATCCGCACCAGCCCTTGCCTCTGCAGTTGTCACTCTGTGGTGCCAACAGGAGAGGGGAAGCCGAAGGGACCCGGGGCAGGAAGGCCCCTCTTGGCCTCCTCCTGGCCTTTCCCCCCAAAATTCTGCAAACGCTACACCTTCCATAAGACCCGGGGACCTCTGCATCGACACAGTGGCAAGACACTGCTGGAAAAGTCACAGCAGGTGACCCCAGGACCACGTGAGAACACCCCTGGGGCTGAGACGGTCTCCCCTCGTCTTCATGAAGGGGGCGGCCGTCGGTGAAATGGGTGAGATGCCACCCGTCCAAGAGGGACACCTGGGGGTGGGGGGTGGGGGGCGGGGACCCGTAATGAGCTGAGATCTGCACTAGCCAGCTGTCGCCTAGGCCATAATGGCAAGAGGGCCCTAAAGTGGCCAGTGAGGGACAAATTCAAAACCAGCTTAAAGTGAGCTCTGTGACTCACAGCTGAGGACACAGGCCAGGAGGGGTTAGGTTGGAGGGGCAGAGTCCCCACTTGGTCCCCTGCCTCGGTGGCAGGAGATCTCCATGCCCTCTGATCTACATTCAAGAGCATGCTACAGGGACACTGCCACATCGATGTTCATAGCAGCACAATTCACAATAGCAAGACTGTGGAACCAACCCAGATGCCCTTCAATAGATGAATGGATTAAAAAAATGTGGCATTTATACACCATGGAGTACTACTCAGCACTAAAAACTGACAATATCATGGCATTTGCAGGGAAATGGATGGCACTAGAGCAGATTATGCTAAGTGAAGCTAGCCAATCCCTAAAAAACAAATGCCAAATGTCTTCTTTGATATAAGGAGAGCAACTAAGAACAGAGCAGGGAGGAAGAGCAGGAAGAAAAGATTAACATTAAAGAGGGACAAGAGGTGGGAGGGAAAGGGAGAGAGAAGGGAAATTGCATGGAAGATGGAAGGAGACCCTCAGGGTTATACAAAATTACATACAAGAGGAAGTGAGGGGAAAGGGAAAAATAATACAAGGGGGAGGAATGAATTACAGTAGAGGGGGTAGAGAGAGAAGAGGGGAGGGGAGAGGAGGGGAGGGGGGATAGTAGGGGATAGGAAAGGCAGCAGAATACAACAGTCACTAACATGGCAATTTGTAAAAACGTGGATGTGTAACCCATGTGATTCTGCAATCTGTATACGGGGTAAACATGGGAGTTCATAACCCACTTGAATCAAATGTATGAAAAATGATATGTCAAGAGCTTTGTAATGTTTTGAACAACTAATAATGTTTTTAAAATCCTCCTGAACACTGTACCTAGGCAGCCTCTGAGCACCTGCTTCTCTGTATTATCTTTGGTCCCTGCTAACTTGGGCGGGAGAGCTGGACATGGGCAGAGGTCCGGCTAACACCTAGATGGCCCACGCTCTGGTCAGCCGGGACCGTAGCTTCACATCACACCCCTTCCCAAAGCCGAAGTGGTTTCTTAGCCAGCGCCTTGACCTTGGTCTCTAGCATGGTGCTTTGAAGTTCCTTGGGCGGCATTCGAAACAAAATCGAAGAGGGCTGGGGAAGGAGCTCACGTCTGTCTGTCTGTCTGCAACAGCCCACGTGGGGGTGTTAGGAAGGTGCTTAGAAATATCATCGGGGGCCACCGAGCTTGGTGCCCTTGGGAAGTCGCAGAAAACACTTTAAAAATGGAGACCTTGTGAATTCGAGGAATGAAAATGAAGCCCCCCACCCCAGGCATGAATCATCTTGCTCAAAAGCGGTGCTGAGGCGTGGCTCTTCTGTGGGTTTCTCTTTCGGGGCCCACACTGAGTTTTTTTTATCTGGGCGCACGAAGCAGGGTGGAGGGAAGTCCCTTGTGCGCTGGGGTCGGCGTAGGTAGGTCAACCTGGGGGCACGGAGAGGGGGGTGCTCAGGCTCAGCAGAACCCTGCAGCAGGTGACGTGGTGTGTTCTCAGTTCCTCTTACCCCGCTTTTAGTTCCCTCTCCTCCGGAAGGCTCCTGCTTGCTCTCCCAGCCCTCTAGTGTTGTCAGGGTCACCACGTGAGGCCACGTGTGTTGCGCACTGCACAATTTTTAGGGGATCCAGGCTCCCCTGACTCCAAACAGTGTTCCTCTTGCCTGGTCTTCCGTGGAAGTCCACCTCATAGGCCTCGGGTCTGACTCACATTCTCAGGGTCTAATGGGTCACGGCCTCAAGATCCACTCTCTAGTGGAAGTGAATGAAATACGGAGCAGATTCTGGGGGGGTCAGGGTGGAGGGGTAACCAAGATCTCTTACAAGGGTCTTTCATTTCTACAGCACCCGGCGCCTTGCAGGATATTGACACTCCACACCAGGGGGCTAAGAGATGGGGTGCTTGCACCAGCCTAGGGCTGAGCCCCATTTCTTCCTGCCACTTGCAAGTGACCTAAACTTTCTTGCAAAATAGGTCGGTGCAGGGAATTAATTGAGATCATGCAAGAGAGTCATTTAGCACAGTGTCTGGCAAATGACCTCCCATACCTGTGGCCCGCTATGGTCACTGTATTTCACAAAACCCCGGGAGGCAGACAGGTTGGAGTTGCTTCCTGTTGTCCCGCAGAGAGACGAGTGTGTCCAGGGATACGAGGCCCTGGTGTGTGCGGAGGCTGGGTGTTCAACCCCGGCGTTCAGTGGTGGACTCCTGGGTTCTTTCTACCCTCTCCGCTCCCGTAGACCCCCGACCAGGTTCATCTGCCTGTCCAGGCTGCGTGGTTCTGACAGGCACTCGAGACCTAATAGCTGCTTCTTTAACTGGCCTGTGTTCCCAGGGAGGGCCTGGGAAAATGTGCCCTTCATGCACAGCCACCATCTAACGCCCGTGACCTTTCAAAGACCCCACTAACACATAAGGGGATCATTTTACTTGCCAAACAAACTAGCCAATTTGACCATAAAACCCAAACCACCGCAGAGCAACACAGGTGCTCAAGAAATACCCAGAGATTCAGATCTTCTGTCCAGGAGAGAGAAGGAGGCTCAGGGAGGGATCTAGATTTTTCTGAAGATCACTCCATTTCAGAGTCATTTTTGAAGAAAAGGAACTGCATTATAAATTCAGCATTAGGTATGGGAACATCACAGAGCTGGAGAGCAGATGAGTGGTTGCTGGGAAAGGTGGAGGGAGACAGAGAGATTGGGTGCCGTGATAAAATTGGCAAGAGGAGCCTCTCCCAGGGGCACGCACCTGAATCACAGTGAGTCTGGAGGCTGAGGCAGGAGGATGGAAAGTTGGAGGCCAGCCTCAGCAAGTTAATGATGCACTTAGCAACTTGGTGAAACTCTGCGCCCGGATAAAATATAAAAAAAGTGCTGGGGGGGCGGGGAGGAACAAGGGCTGGGGATGTGACTCAGTGAGTAAGCACCCCTGAGTTTCATCCTCAGGACCAAAGAAAAATGGGGATGGGGGAACAGCATCAGGAATCCTAGTAATGCGCTGTCCTGTATCCTGACTAATGATACACTTTGGATCTCTGTAAAGATACATATTGACACTTGCAGCTCAACATGTGCTGAAATTGCGCAGAACGGAACCCATGAATGAATGCATAGAAAGCCATCGGAATCTGAATACGATAGGTGCAGTGTCATCCCTGATATTCTGACCCGTCATATGGTACTAAGTTTTTTTTTTTTTCTGCAGGACACTGAACTTGGGGTAAGCTACATAAAAGGCAGTGGAGCTCTTTTTCCTTTGAGCAGCTTGTAGATCTACACTTAGCGGAAAAAGTTCAAGCCTTTGGAGAGAAGGAGGAACAGAGGCTTCCAAGCAAGACAACAACAGGTAGGACTCACGGGAAGGGCTTGCTCTGGGGACCGGGTGGACACCCAGGCTTGGCTGGCTTGCTGGAAAAGCAGCGGTGGAGTCACGGGAGATGTGACCCAGCAGAGACGCAAAACCGTTCCAAGAACCCCCACCCCCCAGGTTCTCGGAGACTCACCCACATAGATAGGAGGAGTCCACTCACTCCAGAGCCCGGCTGTCCTGCAGGCGGGGCTCACGGCCGCCCTCACTTGAATGGAGTACTTGGAGAGATGGTCAATGGCGGAGACGAACACGTTGGTCGTGATCTTTTCCATCTAAATGGGGGGGAAAAAGTCCTTGTAAGAATCTCAAAACCCATAAGGTAGGTCGATGACCAGCTGGAGGGGTTCCTGTAGAAATAGTGACCAGTGTCTAGGAAGTCGCTCAAAGACATCTGGCCATCCATGAAGGGTCAGGCGCTCCCGTGGGGGCCCAATTGATGTTTCCGATGCAAAGACCAGAGGAGCCTCTACCAGTGTGAAGAGGATCCCTGGCCTTCTCCCTCTGCGTCCTGAACACTGTCACAAGGGCTGTGCGTCCTGGTACCTGCAAACTCATCTGCCACCTGATTTTGAATGACCTACAAGCTGTGACCTGCTACGTTTTGGGGTTTTTGTGGAGAGGGGGTTTTGTACAGTGGGTGGAACCCAGAGGTGATAGGCAACCCCAGCCATATCCCAGCATTTTTCAAAATTTTTGATGTTGAGACAGGGTCTCCCTACGTCGCTTTAGGGTCTTGGTAATTTGCAGAGACTGGCCTTGAACTTCCCATTCTCTAGCTTCGGGCTCCCAAACCCACTGGGCTTACAGGTGTGCAACCACCTCACTCAGTGGCTTAGGTATTTTTCGGTGGCTGGAAAATCTCCAAAGAAGAGTCTTGTTTCATGATACATGAAAACCACGTGAAATGGAAATCTCCGAGTCCACAGATAAAGCCGTATGGGAAGCAGCCTTACCCATCTGTTGACGCGGTGGCCGCTTTAATTCTGAGCGATTTTGGTAGAAAAATGAATGGCCTGCAAAGCCTCTCACCATTTACCAAACAAAAAAAAAAAATTTGCAGGCAGGAGAGGCTCTGCAAAAGCAAGGTGCTGAGCAACTCAGTGAGACCCTGTCTCTAAATAAAATGCAAAATAAGGCTGGGTATGGGGCTCAGTGTTCAATCCCTGGCACCCCACAAAAAATATATATATTGATGAGATCACATTGCTCTGCATTTACTTTTTCTCTTATCAGTGAGACACGTGTTGGAAGCCTGCCGCCCCTGTGTTCTGCTCTAGCTCGGTGACTGTGAGCAAGACTGTGTCTTTTTCCAGCTCTTGCCACTCCAAAGGGAATGGTCGTTACCCAAGAGTTATTGTGAGGATAAGATAAAATTATAAAGCTTGACACGTAATCTATCCTCAAGAAATGTTGGCAGTTTAATGAAGTGGGAGGTTTTTTATTTTACTTTATTATTTTTCTGAGATGGGATCGACTTGCGTTGCCTAGGCTGGCCTCAAAGTTGCGATCCTCCTGCCTCAGCCTCTCAAGTAGCCCGAATGACCGGCACATGCCACTGTACCCTGTATGTGTTTTTTTAAAACTGCGGTAAAACACATTCAATATGAAATCGACCATCCGCTGCATTTTTAAGTGTACCGATCAGCAGTTTTAAATACAGCCCATCTTCCCGTGCTTCTCATCTCGCAAAACTGGCCCTCTGGGCCGGGATGTAGCTCTGTGAACAAGCTCAGGTTGAATCACGAGCAATAGCTCTGGTTTGTTCTGAGACCTTGAGCACTCTGGGTGCTTCCTGTGAGTGGAATCACACAGTTCTTCGTCTTTCTCCTACTGGCTCATTCCCTGAGCACCATGTCCTGACAGTCCATCCACGTGTAAGCCTATGAGCAGCTCAGGAGGCTGAGGCAGGAGGATCCCAAGTTCAATGCCAGCCTCAGCAACTTAGCAAGACGCTAAGCAACTCGGTGAGACTCTGCCTCTAAATAAAATATTAAAAAGGGCCAGGATGTGGCTCAGTGGTCAAGCACCCCTGGGTTCAATCCCCAGTGCCCAAAAAATAACAATTAACAAGTAAATAAACCCAGGCTGAGTGACACCTTCCACTGTGGGTACACACCACATCTTGGGTGTGTTCTCATCCATCGATGGCACCTGGGTCGCCTGTAGCTTTGGGCTGAGGTGGGATCTAACACAGCCTTGAACGTGGCTGTAGGCCTTGGAACACTGAGGTTCCTGTTTTCAACCAGAGCCGCGACATTTTACATTTTCCCTCCACCAGTACCCATGAGGTTTCATCTGACCCCTGGGATTGTTTTCATCCCTGAGCAGAACAAAAGGTCTGTATGGTTTGGTTGATTTCCATAACACCTGGGCAGAGGTAGCTGACCTTGTTCGTACCCAGCTATAACCAGAGCAGTCAATGGAGAAAAAAAAAAAAATTTGTTCAATGTTTATAAAATGAATATTTGTCATGGACTTTTGAGACCCTCTGGGGAATTACCTGCAAGTAATTCTTCTTGGTGTTGTGTATCTTCACTTCGTAATCAAAGCAGTGCTGCGGAAAGGCGGAAATGGGTTTGTCCCATCGGATGGAGAGACGCGTTCCCTGGATCTGGGCTGTGACGTTGGTGGGCGGATTCGCTCGAGCTGGTTAGAGAAGGAGAGGTCAGTGACATTGAGTTGGTCATCAGGGCCAATTAACTCCAATCCACCCACACCTCTCCAGGCATTCAAGATTTACCAGTAGATCTTTCTTTTTTGTGTGGGGACTGAACTCAGGGGCACTCGACCCCTGAGCCACGTCCCCAGCCCTATTTTGCATTTTATTTAGAGACAGGGTCTCACTGAGCTGCTTAGCACCTCACTTTTGCTGAGGCTGGCTTTGAACTTGCGATCCTCCTGCCTCAGCCTCCCAAATACTGGGATGACAGGCGTGTACCAATGTGCCTAGTTTATCATTAGATCTGAATCAGCTCATCTCAAGCCACAGGAAGCTGGTGACTTCCTTAGGACTCCTGTATTGTAGTGGTGTGAAAGAGACCCTTCTTGTGAACCGTAGAGATTGCGGCTGACAGAATTGCATGGATGGCCAGATGCCTGTGATCCCAACAGCTCGGGAGGCTGAGGCAGGAGGATCTCAAGTTCAAAGCCAGCCTCAGCAACTGGGTGAGGTGGTCCTAAGCCACTTAGCAAGACCCTGTCTCACCATAAAAAAATAAAAAGGGCTGGGGAGGTGGCTCAGTGGTTCAGCGCCCCTGGGTTCAATTCCGGGTTCTAAAAGGAACGACAATGATGGGTTGCTAACGGCTAAACTCTGGGCTCCCACTGCTGCTGCTCAGTGGATAGCTCAGGGCTCCTCCTGTGCTCCTGTCCCCGCCTGCCCTTGGGCACCTACATGGAGGAGCCCGAGACGGTGGGGGGTTCTGGGGTCTGTCAAAGAGCAACGCACGCCCAGTTCCCTGGACTCCCAGCTCTGGGGTCCCTTCTCTCAGCTGTGCCTGTCTCTTTCTTAAATAAAACTCACTTTCTAAGCTTGGGAATGTTTCCTCTTCAACACCAGGAAAACAAGGACCTGATCCTCATCTCCAAGACGGGTATGGGCAGCATCTCCTGAGCAGTGTCTGGGGATGTGGCCAGACATCCTCCAACATCCAGGGCCGGTCCCCATAGCACAAAACTCATGCAACCCAAATCTGCAGCAGTGCTCCCACTGAGCCACCTGCCCCCATCAGCAGCCCAAACGTAGTCCCACCCTGTGCAGCGCTGAGACCCTGCGATGCAGTGATGTGGGCCACGCTGGGCGGAGTCTGTCTTACCGATGGCTTGCACCCCAAACAGCTGATCAAAGGGTCTGATGGCAGCTGTCCTGCTGGTGCCGTTAACGTGGACCATCAGCCAGCCGTGCCCCTTGCTGCTGATGGACGACCTTGGGACCCAGCAGGCGGTATTTCTGCCGGTGGGGTCTTTGCGGTATTCCTGACACTCCTCGGTCCAAGAGCCATACCTACAGTGGAAGGCTCGTGAGTTTCCTAAGGCCCAGAGGGGGCGACCCATCTGCATGGGCTAAAAACAGGGACTCACCTGTAGTAGAGGAAGTACTGCGTGTCTGGGGGGGCCTCCTCGCCCGACAGCCAGGTGCAGTGGAGAGAAACTCGGTGTGGCCTCCGGTGGCCACCACCTGCCATTGTCGTGCTGGTGGCACAAGTTAAATTCGAGACTGAGGTTCCGGGAGACCCTGGGTGGTCGGAAATAGAACAAAACAACGTGGCTGCTGTTGCTTTTGAATCTTGGACCTCTTTGGAAACCTTAGCGATGGCACGTGTCTTGTCACCTATTTTTAGAAACTTAATATTTGCAAAGAGCTGACTTCCTAGCGAAACTAGAGGCATAGAGTCCAGGGGCCTAATGCCTGGGCGCCGTGGTGCACACCTGTCATGTCAGCAACTCAGGAGGCTGAGGCAGGAGGATCGCGAGTTCAAAGCCAGCCTCCGCAAAAGTGAGGCCCTGAGCAACTCAGTGAGACCCTGTCTCTAAATCAAATGCAAAACAGGGCTGGGGATGGGGCTCAGTGGTCGAGTGCCCCTGAGTTCAATCCCTGGTACCAAAAAAAAGATGTACTGCATATCTATTTCAACTATATATTATGCACAGGTGGAATTGGCAATAAGAAGTGACCACAGCCCCCGTTAGGGTGTGCATGCCTTGGAAGACTCCTCCCAGGAACTGGTGACTGACTACAGAAAAGCAAATCACTGTTAGTTTTTCTGTTTCCCCGTTTTGCAGAGTCCAGAATAGGACACTGGACTTTGAGGAGCTTCCCTTACCTGGTGGGGCTTGGAGTTCTGCAGAGACCCAGCTGCTGGCCAGGGGGGCGTGACCCTCCTGCAGGATGGTTCGAACGCTTGCCGAAAAGCCTTCGTGGAGGGGGGCCACGCAGGTGCTCTCCGTGCTCCCGGTTTCAAACTGCAAATAAAATCCACAAGTAGCCTTTGAAACAACGACTTCTTATGCCGGATGCCTCTTCTTCCACTTTTCAAATAAGTGCATAGATAAAATAGACTGAAATAGTTTTGTTAGGAAAAAAAAATTGGGGCGGGTAGGTACCAGGGATGGAACCCAGGGGCACTCGACCACTGAGCCCCATCCCCAGCCCTATTTTGTATTTTATTTAGAGGCAGGGTCTCACTGAGTGGCTTAGGCCTCGCTGCTGCTGAGGCTGGCAATCCATTCTAATAACATCATTGCTCGGTGGCCCATGAACATATTCCTCTCATAAAACCGAACAAAATATTACAAAAATTAAGGTTTAATTGAGCTTAAGGTTGAGGTTCCCTTTGATTTCTATCTCTAGTGTCCCTCTGCCCTGCAGAAGAAGTAGCAGGAAATTCTCTGGAGTTCCATATTGGCTGCAAAATAGTTAAAAACACACTGTTTCTGCCTTCCTGGGACTTTGGGACACAGCAGGTGTAGCAGGTGGTTTCACAGAAGTCACCACCTAATGGGTCCAAGGTGACAACAACAGGGTATAGATGAGAGGGGGCTTTGAACTTGATTTGTCTGACTTTGAAACAGTATTTGCAAAGAGCTGACTTCTGCCCAGTTGCAAGGCTACTTACTGTCTTCTGTTCTTTATGCCATTGTAGAAAAAAAGCATCAAACCATTACCTACTCCATTCTACCTGTGGTCATTGTCTTTTTTTTTTTTTTTTTTGCTTAAAATTTCATTTGATTAAAAAAAATGCAGCCCAAAGAAACATTTACTCTACATAATAACAGCTGCCCTTAGAAGGGATATTTACGTCATCGTCTTGTGGGGCGTGGATCTTCACATGGTATTCCAGGTGAGCGTCCCTGGGCTCTTGGTCAGGATTTGGTTCCCAGCTTAAAAGGACTTGGGCTAAACCCGTGACTCTGATGGTGAAATTCACAGGCGGGAGGAGGGACACTGTGGAAAAAATTAAAAAGCAACACGATGTTTTGTGGTGCACAAACAGCACTTTCAAGTATTTAAAAACGTTTTTCTGTACTATTTTGCTCATGGATGTGAAGGTGTTCAGTGCGGAATAATTTCAGAAGATGCTTCTTTAAAACTGTTTCCAACTCATTCTCTTATTTTTTTTTTTTTTTTACTTTTCCCAAGTGTCTATCTATACCATGGATGTGGTTTTTTTATGGAAATATGAATATTTTTGAACATCATTTATTGTAACCGTAGTTTTCAAACTGAGAGCCATTCTCTATTTTTTTTTAATATTTATTTTCTAGTATTTGGCGGACACAACATCTTTTGTTGGTATGTGGTGCTGAGGATCGAACCCGGGCCGCACACATGCCAGGCGAGCGCGCTACCGCTTGAGCCACATCCCCAGCCTCCTGCCATTCTCTATTAATGGGCCACAATCACAATTTATTGGGTTGTGACCAGCATGTTTTCAATGATGTGGAAGAAACATAGAATCGAAAAATACCAGAACAGAAAATAACAGGGTGCGTGCGTCACCCGTGAAAAGAAGGAGAGCTTCTTTGCAAATCTCTTGTTGCCATTACGTAAAGGTACTGAGGTATGTGTCCGTGTGATTCGTGATGTATAAAGATTCCTGATGCGTTCATTTCCTACTATGAGTCACGGCCCAAAGTACTGATGACCCTGCTTTCTTAGGCATTTATAGAAAACAGCTTTTTTTTTTTTTACCCGCTTCATGAACCACACTTTGACTTTGCTTTCAAAAAAAAAAAAAAAAAAAGTCCATTTAATTACAAAATCAAATCAGTACCTGCTCATCAGTTTTGTAAACATGAACAATTTAAAAAGAAAAAACGAAAGAAAAAAGAAAAAAAATATCCTACAATTCTACCATGAAGAATGCCATTAAGGGCTGCGGTGGTGGCTCAGAGGTAGAGCACTGTAGACCTAGCATGTGTGAGGCCCTGGGTTCGATCCACAGTGTCCCGTAAACAAATAAATAAAAAGTTATTGTGTCCATCGACCTCTAAAAAATATTTCTTTAAAAATCTGCCACCCTACCATAAAGAAGGACATTAACATGATGTAGTCACTATATAATTTTTTTTTTCTGGGCATGCATTGATACGACTTTTTAGCTTTTTTTTTTCTTTAACCAGAATTAGGCCAATACTGTTTACGCTGCTACCGAGTCCTCTTTTGCTCCCTGACGTGTGGGGATTTTCCATAGACCCCAGGAGACTTCCAGCACTCTGCACCCACCCCATATTTAAAGATACATATAAAATGTCCTAACTGTTGGTTTGCTCAGGGGGAAACCGTGCTACCCCTTCTAGGGTGGACTAGGTTGAATCCAAGGTCCTTACGCTTTGGGTCAGGAAGTAAGTCGGCGGGTGGTATCACCGTGGCTCCCCAAAGAACCAGGAGTACAGGGACCATGACGGTCAGTCGGATCCTGCAGAGAGCAAGGGGACAATTGAGATCATCTTGCAAAGAGCAAGGGGACAATTGAGATCATCTTGCTGGCATTTCTGAGAAAAACGGAAAGCCCCTTTCTAAAGCAAGATGTGGGCATCTGGCCATTTAACAAGCATTTGTGACATAGATCCTTTTATTTATTTAATGGTACGAGGGATGGAACCCAGGGTGCCTAACCACTGAGCCACATCCTCAGCCTTTTTAAATAGTTGATTTAGAGACAGGGTCTCACTGAGTTGCTCAGGGCCTCGCTAAGTTGCTGAGGCTGGCTTTGAACTTGTGATCCTTCTGCCTCAGCCTCCCAAGCCCCTGGGATTACAGGGGCACATCACCATGCCCGGCTGTGACATCCATCTGTTACATGCTAGGAATACAATATGTTAGACTTATACGTTGGGACCAGGTCTCCCAACAACAACAAAAAAATGTGTTAGGCACCGTCGACAGCAGACATAAAACATTACCAGGACTATTTAAATATAAGCCGCAGGCTGGGGGGTTGTGACTGGGTGGTAGAGTGGGTGTTTATCATGCATCAGACCCTGGCTTCCACCTCTGGCAATATTTCTACCTACTTGAGACAAGTGGACGATGAGAGTGAATTCACAGTGGGAAGAGTCACCATCGCTCAGTGTGAAAAAGCAGGAAAAAAACTTAGCATCCTATTTCACGGCGCAAATAGCAGAGAGAAGCATCTCTCTTGGGGAACTTTCCACTAGAAAGCTCTTCAAGAATACAAGCAACCATAAATGTTGGTGAGGATGTGGGGGAAAGGCACACTCATACGCTGCTGGTGGGACTGCAAATTGGTGCAACCAATCTGGAAAGCACTATGGAGATGCCTTAGAAAACTTGGAATGGAACCACCATTGGACCCAGCTATCCAACTCCTTGGTTTATACCCAAAGGAGTTAAAAATCATCATACTATAGGGACACAGCCACATCAATGTTTATAGCAGCTCAATTTACAAAAGCTAAACTGTGGAACCAACCTGGGGGCCCTTCAGCAGATGAACGGATAAAAAATATTTAGTACCTATACCCTGTAAAGGAATATTGCTCAGCCTTAAAGAATGAAATCATGGCATTTGACGTTAAATGGATGGACCTGGAGAAAATCATGCTAAGTGAAATCAGGCCAATCCCAAAAAAACAAAGGCCAAATGATACACGGATGCTAATTCACAACAAAGGGGTGGGGGCTAGGGAGAATAGAGGTACTTTGGATTAGACAGAGGGGAGTGAAGGGAGGGGAAGGGGTCGTGGAGGTAGGAAGGACAAAGAATGGATCCGACATTATCTCTCTCTGTGCACGTATGACCACACAACTGGTGTGATTCTACTACATGGGCACCCAGAAGAATGAGAAATTATGCTCCATTTATGTAAGATGTGTCAAAGTGCATTCTACTGTCATGTATAAACTAATTAGAAAATTTAAAAAAAAAAAAAAACTCTTAAAGAAAATAAATCTCTAGCTTCTCTCTGCACAGATATTTCTCCTGGGAGCTGCACTGTAAGTTCGAGCCACGTGCAATTCTCCCAGAGCCGTCCTCCCTGCGGCCACACAGTCCCCAGTGATTCAGTGCATAGAGATCATTCCAACCATCGAAGGAAATGAGTCTGAAAATTTGCCAAAGAACAAGCCATGGCTCAGCAAAGAACTTGGGCCCCATCTGGAATCTTCCAAGATCAAAAAACAAAACAAAACACAAAAAAAACCCTACACTGTGTCCACTCTATATTACTAATTAGAATGACGTATAGTTTTCTGTTTACAGTTTTATTTTAATAGCTTGATATTTTCCAAATATAATTCCAGTGGAACCAAAGGAGAGATCCTGAGTAAACAGTTAAGTTCAGCAAATAGCACAAAACTCTTCATTGCTTTTTTTCTTAGCTAAGTGGCTGCTGAAGTTATTGCTATTCCTACTGAAGTTACTAAGGGCAAAGGTCACCGTGTTAGGAAAGAAACAGCATCGAAACCATAAAGTCCTTTTTTTTTTTTTTTTCCAAATCAACTTAAGTATTGCTAATCGGAATCATGCCCATTTCGATAGAAATAATCATCTTGTTTCTTTTTCTCTGACAATTCCAACTAGTGAAAGACGTTTGGAACCCACAGCAGTGACAAAACAAAAAAATCCAGACATTTTCACATTTTTCTTTCAAATTTCCAACCAGTGAGTATTTTCAATGAGTTAAAGGGAAGTGTTAGCAATCTTCGGGGCCTGAGCAGAAAAGATAAAATATCCTTCTCAACAACCAAGAGAGCTTCCTCTTGAGACTGCGAAAGTGATGTCTTAAGATGTCCGCATTTCCTGAAATGATATCAACTACCATCTAACTGCACTCATTTCATCAATAGGAATTTCAGATCAGGGAAAAAAAAAATTGCAAAATTAACACCCCCACCGCCCCTCGCCTAGTGACTGTTACCAAGTAAGAGAGATGTTAGAACCAGACGTTCTAAAAATAATGAACATTGGTTCATCTTTTGCAAATTAAGTTGTCGAAGTCAATAACAAAACTGTTGAACTTCTCAGTGGGGGAGATGATTGAATATTTTACATAAGCAAGAACTCTCCCTTAGAATGGGCCATATAGTCCTACGTAGCTGCAGAAATCAGAACTGGTTGTTTTTTTTTTTTTTTTTTCCAAATTTGATCATTCGAAATTTTTTTGAAGGTCAACTTTTGGCCAGAAACAGATTTTTTTTTTTTTTTTTTTTTTTGCTATCTCTTGGGGATGTTTTCTATTCAAATAGAATAGTACCCGGGAGAGAAAATCAGTTGTCCCCTTTGCTACACAATGTACTCACGTAAGAGTCTAAAGGTGACCAAGAAGAGCAATTTTGGGTGCACAGATGGGTTTCAGGCTCAGCATTCCTGGAGATTCAGCCTCGGACCCCCCCACGCACCCCGTTTTCTTGAGTCTTGCTGATTCTCTGTTCTTTGGAAGCACCCCCAGCGGTGGCCCCTTAAAACTTCTGGCCCCCTGAAGAGCAGTCATTCTTGCTGACAGTGGCTGGGTTGGGGGTGGAGGGACAGAAGCTCAGATCTCTCTTTAATCCAAAAATACCCTGTCCTCTCCAGGGTGCAAGAATAGAGCCAATTCACCAGCTGCATTTGTAGGCACCCATCTACCGTCTCCAAATGACAATAGTCCCTCTTCTCCTGGTGGCCCATGAAGGTCCAACAGAAAACCAGGACATCAGCATGATAGGCTTCAAGCTGCCCGGAAGGAAGGAGGGCCCAGCTGCCCACCTGTGGTCACTCGGGAACACGCACTGGATCTCGAGGACGGATCAGGGGCTACTTGTTCCTGGGACGTGGGGTTGAGTCAACCTAGGATTCCTCGAGTGCTCTCTGAGAACTGAGCTTCCGGTGGGCCATGAAAGGTGAAAGAAAACAGGGGCACCATCTCTTTCAGGACAGATGTTTCTAGAAAGTTGAGTCAAGTGTTAACCATGGGGGGGGGGCGGGGGTGGACTTCCCCGGGATTCTTGAGAAATCCGTCCAATTCTACTGAAGTTCAGGGTCACAAAAATCTTTCCCCTCTCTCTCTTTTTTCCCCCCCTTTTCATAATTGATTGATGTTCTGCCCAGAGCATGTATTTGACAACCAAAGTGGTGGTTGAGGCCCATTTTATTCTCTTTTTTTTTTTTTTTTTTTTTTTTGAGTTAGCTGTAGTGACATCAAATTCGAGGCTCCACCTCATGGCAGAAATTGAAAAGAGAGGATCTGTGCTCTGTTGGAGCTCTTTAAAGAGTTAACTTCCTCTTTTATCCTGCAACGTGCAGTTAGAAATAAAACCCTTTTTTTTTTTTTTAGGAGAAAAAGAGAGAATGCAAGAAACCAAAAGCACATTCCTAAAAATATAAATGCCTAACAAGGATTGTTCAGCCAATTTGGGGTTGTGTATTGTTTCACCCCTACTGAGCCTCTGATTGGTTTTCTGAAATAGTCCTAAAGTACCACTCATGGGTTCCAACTGTGGGCACACACACACAGCCCTCTGTCCAGATGGAGATGGTACCGCCACCCTGAAGGTCTGGCCAATTTGCTGCAGATATCCCCGATAGTTAAATATGTTCACTCCCCATCAGACATGATCCTCCCACATCCCTGAGCGTACCTGTGCACCGACACTCTCCTCAAAGCCAGTACTGACAGCAGAAACCAAGGACCCCGTGGGTCACGTTCATGGTGGCCGACCCAGGCGTGGGGCAGATGTCCAGGTGGGTAGAGCAGAGGCAAATCAATACCCAGCTGTGACAAGGCAGGACATAGGTGCTGAAATCAAACAGGGGGATCAGCAAGGTCAGGGGGTGGTGCAGAACAGGGAGCCTGGAGCAAGCCCAGTCCTCTGGGACCCTGGCCTAAAAATCTCCCCGTGCAGCCTTTCAGTGGTAGTGTAAACCAATCAGGTGACTTGATTTTGAAATGCAAACTTTTAACAGCTACATAGATTGATTTTTTTTTTCCAATAACAATGAAAGGGGAAGTCATCACATGGAGTAGCAATCTAGAGATCATACCCGGTCATGAAATGTTCAGTATATTTCATTTAAATGGAGTATTGAATGCATTCTGCAGGATATAACTATGAAGCACGGTCAGTTTTCATTCATTAAATGAATTTTAGACCCGTGGAGTATTCAAAGAGTCTGATTTTTCCTTTCCTATCTCCTTCCTCCCTCCTTCTTATTTTGTGTCTTGGATCTGGAAATATATATATTCTTTGCTTTGGGGTAAATAATTAAGTGAACATAAAGCCGAGAGAGAGAGAGAGAGAGAGAGAGAGAGAGAGAGAGAGAGAGAGAGACATGAGAGAGAGAGAGAAACAGAGATATCAGCAACTTTTTGAACACTTTAGACACAAACTGTCTTGGAAATCAAAAAAACCTTCAGCAGAAACAAAAATGCAAAAATGCCTTTGGTTACATACGGTAACACTAG